ATGAGTTCATGGAAGGGATGGCCAAATATAGCAAGCTAATTTTTAAGTAGATAATTTTGTATGGTCTGTGCACATTGCAAATATCCAACTGGCCCTTGGCAGGAAAAATAAAAGTCCCCACCTCTGTGCTGAAGGCTACATTGTCGGCCTTATAGGGGCTTGGCGGCTATTTAGCTCAAGCTCTGGAAGGGTACCTACCCAGTAATGTCAGGACACAGGCCAGGATGGCGAGCAGGGCTCCGGTACTGAGGCCTGCGGGCAGCACATAGGCCTCTGCGTTACAGGTCTGGGCGATGCCATCGGCGTCACAGTCACACACCCGGATGGTGAGCGTGTTGGTGCTGCTGAGTGAGGGGGAGCCACTGTCCACTATGAAGATGGGCAGATAGTACACAGACTGCTCCTGTCTCCGGAAGCCGTTTCTCCGGGTTAGGACCAAGGCCGTGTTGTCTGGGGTAAAGGAAGAGATAAGTGTGACCCATGTTTTCTGATGCAATCAAAGTTTTCAAGCTTTATTTGCTTTCCTGTTTAATTTCTAAATGAAGGGAAGCTCAAGCAATAATGCTGCTTTTCACTCAGCTATTCTGACTATCAATAGACACAGAGACAGATTTCCAAATGCGGGTTAAATTTCCTTTCATTTATATATTTATGTCATTATGCACACAGAGTTCTTGCCAAAACTCACTTTGATTGATTCCCAATGATAGTAGGGTCACACTTAGTTAACCCCCTCAAATTGTGGTAAGTAAAACTTAACATGGAACTATTTATGTTTATTCATGTTAAGGGACGTTTCATAAAATTTACTTATATGCTACATGCTTTTACTCACCAAAAACTTCAAGCCTCATAGAAAAGATAGTTGAAATGAGTAGGATAAACATTTTGCAGTTAAATTAGATAGTCCAAGTGCACTAGATCAATGCACCCTTTCTTTGATAAATTCCAAGCCCAACATAAAATAAGTACAATAAGCCACCCTAAACTTATTTAATAGAGATGAACTTGTAGAGAGAAATCATGCCATTATTTTAAAAGCCCATAGTGTTACTAAAGTCCTATGTATATAAACATGTTGTTATTGGAAAGATAATTCATTTTTGCTTAATTTATA